CTCGGTGAATGCGAGGAAAGCTGGGGACCCAGATGGGATCCTGGGGAGAGTGGTAAGAGACTGCGCCCACCAACTCTCGCAGGTATTCACAGACATCTTTAATTTATCACTGTCTGAAGCTACTGTCCCCCCCTGCTTGAATTCAGCTATTATTATACCTGTGCCTAAACAAAATAACATCTCTTGTCTAAATGACCACAGGCCTGTAGAACTTACTCCTGTTGTCACAAAATGCTTTGAAAGACTGGTTTTAAAGCGCATTAAATCCACCCTACCTGCTCATCCTGATCAGCATCAATATGCCTATAGAACACACAGATCCACTGAAGACGCCATTGCCACTACTCTCCACACAGAATGCTATTTATTGATTATAGCTCGGCATTTAATACTATTGTCCCCAGTAGACTGGTCACGAAAATGTTTGGCTTAGGTCTTAACAACACCCTGTGTAGATGGATAAAGGACTTTCGCTCAAACCGTCCACAAACCGTGAAACTTGGCACACACATATCCACCAGCCTGACCCTCAGCACAGGGGTGCCACAGGGTTGTGTGCTGAGTCCTCTTCTTTATTCACTATACACAACTGACTGCACTGCCATCTACCCCACAAATACAATAATCAAATTTGCTGACGATACAACAGTTGTGGGACTAATAACAAATAACAATGAAATGCCAAGGAAATACCAAAAAGACCAAGGAACTCATCATTGACTTCAGGAGGCACCGTGAGGACCACACTCCCTTAACCATCATGGGAGAAGAAGTGGAGAGGGTCTCGTATTTCAAATTTCTGGGGATCTACACATCTATTGCCTTCGCAGAGCCAATATCATCAGTCAGGATAAAACACATCCTTGTCACCACCTGTTTGCTCTGTTGCCCGTGTAGAATCCACATGAGCTTGTTTTTCATCAACTGGTCAAAATTTACAGAAGGGCAAATTCGGTCAATTTTTTTGCCTTAAAACTGTGCTTTATGCTGGACAGTATTTCTCCTCAGTTGTTCAAATCACGGTAATCAAATCGATTTGAATGATAATTTAAATATGAAATGGTATACCTAACCGTGGTGGAATTTTATAATGATTTATCATCAAACCGGTAATCGTTCCATCCCTAATACAGTGCAACATCATGCTGTCACCATCACTTGGACTTTGAGTTTGTTTTCATTCATCCCACGTGTCCCTTGACCTGGTTTCTGTCTCCCCTTGATTGTGTCATTCTGTTCACATGAGTCTAGTTTATTATCCTCATTTGCTTGTGTATTTAAAGCTGCAGTCCGTAAGTTTTGCCTCTTTGTCGCCATCTCTGTTTGAAAACCTGCAATTGCAGTTGTGTGTGGAATTATCTTCCTTGCGTGGGTTGTGCGGCTGTTCTGTTTAGTCTTAGTTTGTCGGGTCTCGTCGTCGTATACTTGTGTTACCAGCCTCCCTTGAGTGGAATTACTATCTGTGGATTTATTAAAGACTGTTAACCTTCCTCTTCGTGTGTGTTTACAAACAGCACAGATGCCAGACGAACAGGTACCACAGGTACAACAAACTGAGACAAACGAGAGAGACCGCAAGTTGTGGTGCCATCTTGGAAAGTGTATGAGAAAACTCGTACACTTTTTTTATTGTCCTTTATTTTATTTTATTTAACTTTTTTGTCCTTTATTTAACCAGAACAAAGTTTAAAAATTAGATATCTGAGATTTAGAATCTCTTTTCAAGAAGGGACCTGGCCAAGTATTACAATAACAAACTTTAAACTAATAATTAGAACATTTGTATTTTGACTCTTCCTTTAATAGGTCACAGACCAAAGATTTAAAAGTACACATTGACACCACACTATTATTCATACCCGCCAGCATTTGGGCACCAAAAGCACTGACTGACATGCTTTCATCATTATAAGTAAACTTAACTTGTGCAGAGATTGGTGGGAACAAACATACCTCTATTAATAAGAAATATAAAGTCAGGACTAGTCTGTATGGGCTGAAAAAAGCAAATCATCTTACCAGTAACGTTTTGATGGATGACGATTATAATGTAATATAAATAAAGATGATTGCAATGACACAGCAATCGTACAATATTAGACATGCGATTCTGTTATTATTAGTGTGCAAATTAACAGACCGTATTTGTGCGCTCTATGATAGCTTTTTGCACAAGCACATTTCAGTATGGTTGCATGTCTGGCAAGTGATTTATAATGGACACTCGCTGAAGAAGTGCGTTTTCATATGAGTTTGCGGTGGGGGTCATTCCACTAAATCAGTGCCTTTTCCACTTGGAAAAATCTATTTACTTCAGTTTTTGCTGTTGCACTGTATACATAATTTGTGGATTATGATTTTTTTTTTTTATTTATCTGGAAAAAAGCTTGCAGAAAATAGTTTTGTAGTAAACATCCTCAATCTTGAAGTTGGTAAAACAATGACCTTTATTTACAATGTTTCAAGTCTTAATACTTTTCTTTTTGTTATACTGGGATAAATCATACCGTGGTGTATGTTAAAATTGTTGGATGTGGCGCCCTACCTAGAAATTTGTCCACCAGCCGCTACTGGTCTTAATGTTTTTTTTAATTCAGCTTAGCTACAGCAATAGCTGGATGCCTTTGTCCATATTAGGGATTTCCTGGAAGGTCAAGTTATTACTTCTATGAGTCCATTTTTTAGTTTCTGCGAAAGAGCGCCCTCCAGTTTTGAGTATGAATGACACATGGCACTGCATTAGAGCAGGGGCACATGAACGCATGGGCTTCAAGGGGCTGACACTGGGAAGGGGGTCACCGGCTGCAGGGAAATTATATTTTTTGAATATTTATTTGTAACTCAAACACTCATTTTCAGCGACTTCCTGAAGATATGCCCAGGTCTCCTGGTCTTTGCTTCTGGGTTTCTATACTGTCACCAGAAAAGACAAAGGTGTGAAAGGTTACGTGTTTTGATTGTGGGAAGACTTTAACACCAGATACTGAACTAAAGCTGCACTAGAGATATTACAGTGGAGAGAAACCTTATAACCTTTCATGAGCATGACTCTTTTTAAAAAAAGTTTAAACTGTATTATATTCAGATTACACTAATGACAGTTTTCTCTGTGTATTACAGCACTGGACGAATGTTTAGGTATTATAATGTCATTAACACTGCTGGTGTCCTGTAGTTGCGAGTTTAATTTACGGCAGAAAATGTAAACAAGGGAAAAAATGCAAGTATTGACATGCAAAAAAAACCCATGATTAAAATAACAATTTTAAATCACCATCTTAACTTTATAAAATCTTCTTATTCAGTGAGTGATTATTATTAAAACAGGTAAAACTCAGGTTTAAGAGATGCATTATGTTGTAGGAGCCATTTTCAGTTGTGTAGTTTTCTTTCAAGCCGCTAGAGGGCGCAAAAGGTATTTAATCGGCATCGTGACTTGGCATGAAGAAGGTCAAACAAACTTTTTGGCCGTTGTGATGGACTTAGTAGTTAGACGCTTTTTAAAAATTTCTTTATTGTTTGTTGCTGTTTGAATATTTAAATCAAAAAGGAGACAATAAATGGATTGGAATGTCCAAGTGTATTTTTTGAAGTATGGCCTTTATGTATTATTGTCAGTCTTCTTTTCAAATACAAACGACGTGTCAGAAACAAGATCGTAAAATAGACAATCATGCAGCTACAAACATTCTGTACACATTGATTTCAGAGAATGGTAAGATAACTGTGACTTTTCTGCCTGCATAAACCCTCTGCCCCCGCATTTTAATTTTTGATTGTGAAATCATTCAGTTTGGATGTGTAGCTAATATGTAAATATTCATATGCCTGCATATGCGTAATAGAATACATTTACCTTTTCTGGCTGCCATTGGTTGTTAAATTATTCATCTAAATTGTCAATAAAACACAATTTGAAATAGAATAGTTGATTTAGTACATTATATGAATGACCTGTAAATTTTCAACATTTATATAAATATAAATAAGAATGATATCAAGTCATTTTGATATTTTGTAAGTACATTTTGTGCTATGACAAGTAAATGAGAAAATTTTTCTTTTTATTTTCTATAATAACTCATTGGCTGATGCATCAACATCCTTATCTTCCCCTGTGTTGTAAACGCTGTACGTTATGGGGAAAATGTTTTACGATAGTTTAAAATTCTGTACACATTGCTTTCAGAGAATGGTAAGATAACTGTGACTTTTCTGCCTGCATAAACCCTCTGCCCCCGCATTTTAATTTTTGATTGTGAAATCATTCAGTTTGGATGTGTAGCTAATATGTAAATATTCATATGCCTGCATATGCGTAATAGAATACATTTACCTTTTCTGGCTGCCATTGGTTGTTAAATTATTCATCTAAATTGTCAATAAAACACAATTTGAAATAGAATAGTTGATTTAGTACATTATATGAATGACCTGTAAATTTTCAACATTTATATAAATATAAATAAGAATGATATCAAGTCATTTTGATATTTTGTAAGTACATTTTGTGCTATGACAAGTAAATGAGAAAATTTTTCTTTTTATTTTCTATAATAACTCATTGGCTGATGCATCAACATCCTTATCTTCCCCTGTGTTGTAAACGCTGTACGTTATGGGGAAAATGTTTTACGATAGTTTAAAATATTGTAACAAGTATTCTGTTTTTTGTGAATTTATTCCCACAAAGGGGCGACGTATCCTGAAAAATAAGTCAAGTTTTGAAAAAATAAAATAAAATACAAATCATAAAATTTTATTATTTGAGTCACAATAGGATGGAAAATAGCAATACATTATTTTTCTGATGTTTCTTTATGTGTGGGAGACCGTAATTAACCCTAAAAAGGGCAAGACCATAAAGTAGGCAGAAAAATACTGTAACCATGGTCATTTGTTTTGACACATATTTTTATGTCTCATATTGTTAGAAATAATAATAAAGTATCGAGTAGATTCATACACTTTTAGCATGTCTTGATATAAATGCTGTTTCTAAACAATGAAATAAATTGTGAATACAGTGAAATCTCTGCTGATGATCATGTAAAGCTTTTCAGAAGTGCTGATTTCATGTTAATAGTTCCTGTTTTCACCTCGTTCATTATGCTGCTGTCTTCAAATCAGCTGTAAACTGCCACTTAAAGCTCATTAAATTGGTGTAAACAGACTGAAACCAACTTCCGTTCAACTAATTGAAGTGTTTTTGTTGCTTACACATCTGTACAATTACTTCTGAATCAGTTTATTCTTCTGTTTAATTCATAAAATGATTATATTCTTATGTGTACTCATCCATTTCTTTGTTAGTTTGTTCTTATGATAGATAAACGAATGAAAAGGTTAAGGTTTATATTAGATCGACTCACAAATAAATCAAAAACTCGTAGAATGTGAACTTTTACTTTTTTCTATCCATCTAGGAAAATGTGAACACAAAACATTGAATGCTTAAAATGTGTGAAATAACGAAAACATCAATTCATTAACTGATTATTTTTTATTTGAGCAGATCTGCTATTCCTGCCACACAGCTTGAAGCTCCTCCCACGACAACTCACCTTCACTGAAGCTCCTCCCACAGCAACTCACCTTCACTGAAGCTCCTCCCACAAAAAAACCCTCACCTTCACCGAAGCTCCTCCCACAACAACTCACCTTCACTGAAGCTCCTCCCACAGCAACTCGCCTTCACTGAAGCTCCTCCCATGACAACTCACCTTCAGTGAAGCTCCTCCCACAGCAACTCACCTTCAGTGAAGCTCCTCCCACAGAAACTCACCAATAAATGCTGGGATATTCCCATCAGCCTAGAAGTGAAGCAGAGCTGAACACTGAGAACATGAGAGATCCAGAATCCTGCAGAATGGAACGCGAAGAGACTGAAGAACAAAGAGGTTGGTGTTTATTTTTGAATCCTCATTAATGATTAATCAACATTATAGTCATTATATTTGTAGTATAAAAAGTCATATGGGTTGTGAAATGTTATTTCATATTTAGTTAAAATATCAAGTAATAAGCAGGACACTTTCTATGAACTGGGTACAAACTGAAGTCTAAAACTGAAATGTTCTTTTCTGTCTTTTTTTATTTTCAACAAATAGTCAATGAAAGGAGGTGTGAGAAAAATCTGGAATTCTGATTCCAGATTTTCTGAATTTTATTTACATCCATATCTGCTTACAAGTTTTTGAACATTTCATACAGTAAGTTAAATTTATATTTACTTGTAATCAACTTCAGTTTATTTTAAATTATAGAAGTATTATAGTATATTTTACCCTTTTGGTAAGAGGGTTGATTAATGCAGTCAAAACTACTCTGGGTGTGTGTTTACGGTGTGTGTGTTCACTACTCGCTGCTGTGTGTGAGCACTTGGATGGGTTATATCAGTGTTTCCCAACACTGTTCCTTGAGGCACACCAACAGTGCACATTTTGTATGTCTCCCTTATGCCGAGTTCACACTGCACAATTTTCAAACTCGTCGGATCGCCGTTGTTTTCACACTGCGTGACTATCTGGGGTAGCATTCAGTTGCTGCTGTGTTCACACTGCACGATGGATCGGTGACGGGGGGGTTCACTATGCATGACTTCACAATAGTAAGAATCGCCGACAGCTCTGTCTGGTCCGCAAACTACGTTTCACAACAAAACACACGAGAGAAATGATAAGGAAATAACGCCAGAACCCGCGTGCGTCAGACCGGACTTCTCGTGAGCAAGACTGTAATTATTAAAATATATATATAGCCCGCAAATAGTCTGTGAGCAGATTTCCAGCTACAAGGAGAAAAAGAAAAACAGATTATGCAGGAGGGAGATGCAGGGAACAGGGATTGGGTGTTCTGCAAAGAGAGTTGGAGGTAAATAATTTTGCAGTAACTGTTATGCTGATGTTGTGGCTGGTCAAGCAAATGTAGGCGCTTGTTTCTGTATGATATAATTGTTCATATATATATATTAAAATACTGATATTCTGGTCTATAACTCCTCCACGAACTTCCCTCTGCCCTGTATCTTGGTCTCTCATTGGCTGTAGGTCATCGCCGATGTAGTTTTCAGTCAGAAATCATTGCACACTGCGTGATTGTCAGATTATGCGGCAGAACTAATTTCACACAGCGTGATTGTGAATCGCCGACAGCTCCAGATATTTAGCATGCCAAATATTTTGCGTGTCTGCGATTCCCTCAGATCGCGTCTTTGGTAATTCACACTGTGTGATTGTCACTCACGTGAACGAGCACCGATTTGCCTCCGATTTCGAACATTCGTCGGCGATTTCCCAAAACCTGTCACAAATTGTCTGTGAGCTGATTTCCAGCTACAAGGAGAAAAAGAAAAACAGATTATGCAGGAGGCAGAACTAATTTCACACAGCGTGATTGTGAATCGCCGACAGCTCCAGATATTTAGCATGCCAAATATTTTGCGTGTCTGCGATTCCCTCAGATCGCGTCTTTGGTAATTCACACTGTGTGATTGTCACTCACGTGAACGAGCACCGATTTGCCACCGATTTCGGGCATTTGTCGGCGATTTCGTAAAACCTGTCGGCTAAAATCGTGCAGTGTGAACTCGGCATTATCTGACCAATATATTTCTGGTCCTGGAGTCTCTACTAATGAGCTGATGAGCTGATTCAGGTGTGTTTGATTAGGAAAAGTTGGAAAATGTATAGTGTTGGTGTGCCTCCAGGAACAGTGTTGGGAAACATTGGGTTATATGCAGAGCACAAATTCATGTACGAGACATACAATAAAATAATGATCTGTGCCTATATTGTTTTAAAAAGAACAACTGATCAATGTGCCTAATTCATGAAAAGGTCCAGGGACATGTAATTGTTCATTAAAATGTAATCAAAATTCACTGTACTATTGTATTGCAATTGTCTATGTTCTGGTATTATATTTGAGTTCAC